CCAGACTAACTCTACTTTTTACAAATATTCTATTTATATACAATTTTTCAAGCATCTTACTATACCTAAATTTATGGTTTGATTTCTAATCCCAACCTGGTTTTCCTCTAGTCGTTTTCATCAGCCTGCAGCTGCATGAGGCGCCTGCAAATGCTCATTTGGTTTTTCCCTTCTTTAGGGAATTTATTATTACGAAAATGACTTAGCTGACATTAACTGAATTTGGGATTTTCGTAACAGTATAATAATTTAGTAGTTGCGTTTTATTCAAAATTTTCTAACTCAGAACTTTTTATTTAGGGTTCTTCTTATCGAGGTAGACTCTACACGATTTTATCTGGCGTTGTTTTATTGAAGAACTCACATTTTTCGGAATCGTCCAAAACATCATTCTCAAGAACTAAGACAAACTTTGCAATTTGTCCAATTTAAGTACGATCACGCGATAACTTCCAATGTTTCCGCCAAATTGGATGGGAATATTTTTGACAGCCATTACACAAACAAAATGACGGAGAGATTGACAAGCTCAAATCGATTCAGAATTTCGGTCAGTTCGGATATACTTTATGTGGTTCCTGAGGCTACCTTCTAGGCATTGAAAACTTTTTAACATGGCGGATATACGCCTCATTCCATCAAGAACATGCATGAAAGACTTAAAATTTCCTTTTCATTTCGCAGAAAGGTTTTTCAATATTTTTCATAACATTCTACTGTTACTCAAATCAATTTCTAAGCTCACTTGTTACATACGGATATTTTACATACCCCTGCCCCCTTATGATTATTGCATTTGATTGAAGCCTATTCTTTTTTATTTATGAGATCAACTTAAAAAAAAGCCAGAAAAACTCACCTTAAACATTTTGCAGATTACAATTTTTTTTTTAACATGAAACTTTAAGAAGATTATACGATAAAAACTCATAACGTTGCTGTACATGTAGATTTTTCATTTACAGTCCTTTAAAAAAAAAATAAATAAATAAATCATTCAGAAATTTATTGCGAATGGAATTAAATAATAGAATCTTTCATCAAACCAAATCGCCTTGGATATGTATGTGAAACGGACTGATAACCATGCCGTCATGGTATATATGGTATATGGCTGCGCCATGCTTCCTATTACTCGATAAATATTTAATTTCTCTTGGGCAAAGTAACGGTGCAATTACGAGGTAAGCTTACATTCAAGGGTTTGTGAGGGTCGAAAACGAGATTAAAAAAAAACTATGTAAAATAATATTCAAAATATTATTATATTTTTATATTTTTCTTAAAAAATATTAAAAAAATTAAAATAATTCATACCTTTTCCGTGCACACAAATTTAATGTGAGCAGTGTTAATGTCTCAGTGCTGCCATGCTAAGCAAGCATAAAAGACATAAAACATAATTATCCTTAAATGCAATAATTGTGTGTGCTATGCGAACGAATTATTTACTAAATGCTTTGCGTCGTACTTGTGCATTCATTCGTCCAATCCGAAGTGATATCTAGGCCTCTTGCTTTTTGGTTTATTTATCAACGATCTTCCTGTCCTTCAGCATAATAATATTTCGATATTTGCAGAAGATATTAAGCTTTTTCACTCTACTCTGAGTGTAATGGATGTAAAAATTCTTACTCGTGGTTTATCATCATTGGTAGACTGATGTGGGATTAACTTAATGTCACTAAACCTTTCGAAGTGCAAAAAGATGTCATCGTCTAGATCATCTTCCGTCGCTACACAGATCTTGGTGACGATATTGGATATGCGGTATGATACATAGATCTTGGTATTTAACTGGATCAAAAAATGAACTTTAATCTCCATATGTATTGAATTGTACGTAAAAAAAAGATGGTCGAAGGACTCTGATGATCCCCATATAAAAAAGACTTTGTACGTGGCGCTTGTAAGAACTAGTCTACAATTGTCCGGGCTTAAGTTAGTCTAGTCAGATAAGCGGTAAGGAGTTAGTTCAAAAACAGTTATTCCTTTTGTCTTGCGTGAACGGCGATGACGTATTCTTACCTCTTCCGACCTATGACCATCGCTTAAAACTAATTGATTTATTGGTGCTTGAGAAAGGCGGGCATATAATAGGAACGCACTTTATGTTTAAACTGATAAAGAGAGATGTTAGTTCCCCATTTTTGCTCTGTCAATTATCTTTAATCGCTCGCTTTTCTGGGCATTATATTTCAATTAGGCTCCTCTAGTTCTCCGGAAATTGCGAGTTTTTGTCGCCGTTTCGCATTGTAAAAACTTGAATGACTTTTGTACGCGTGTTTCGTTTTCGGATACGATAAACTTCCTTCAAGGAAAATTTGTAAGCGTGAGCTGATTTGTTGGTTCTCTCTATATATATACTTATGTACAGTTATAGGGCTAAATGCATATATTAACGATAGGATTAAGGTTGCTTATTACATTTTAACTTTTCTCTGCTTTATGTTTTGAATACATTGGCTAATAATGTTTAGTAAACAAATAAACGAACAAGAATTTACCCGTACATTTTTTGGGCGATGCTGTAGTGCCTTTGTAAAAATGATAGATATAGAAATGGGAAAAACCGATGACACCTGACCAATATTATAGTAAATCAAAGTGCATTTTTTGCGATACGTTTATAACGCGCAGAAGCAAGCTTGAAAAACCCCATAAAATATATAAATTGATAACCAATTGCTATCTCGGAATGCGCCTAAAAATATGCGACTGTCTGGACTGCGAGTCCAACCATCTGTCCGTCTGCCAAATTATGTAGTACATTATGGTGCACATTCTTCCGTTCGCAAAAAAAAGGATATCGCTGTCAAATTTGCTAAAGAGCTTGAAAATGGCCGAAGCAAGTCAGAGAACACGTCTATAACGCCCATACGTCTATACAAGCAAAACTGAGAATACCTTTGTTCTTCGTATGTTTTGCTCGGTGCTGATCGAACAGACATACGATATAAATTCCTACAAATTTATTTTACAAAAGCGTAAAAAATCAGCCACAGCCACCCAATGTTATGAAATACACTTATGTATATTTTTCATTTTTTTTATTAGAATAACGTTAATGAATGTGTGAGATTCGGTCGGAATCGAATATGATTTTCTTACTTTCGTGCATCCACTGATAATTTTGACTAGTTTAAATGCACAGACACACTAGAATAAGTCATATGTGCCCAACTGATGAGAATAAAAGGGACTTATTTCTTTGACAAATGCGTACATATTTCTAAGTGGGCCTCTTTCTATGCTGCCCCTTTAAAATGTACAAGTTTTTACGTGTATGTATATCTGCATCACATTTGCAAATGCTTGCATATATGGTTATGGCACTTAATTGAAAGGGAAAAATAAACAAGAATCCCATAATCTGTTCGTGAGCAGCTTGCGATCTACAACAAGTAGAAAATTTGATTCTGGCTCCAGTATTTGTTAAAGGCGATGCAGAGTTCAAAAAAAATATTCTTTTACTCACCTTGCCTAAAGCGTATATATGTTGCT